ATATGTTTCTTTATGCCACCTCATGTCAGTGCTTGTTTTTTTTGACATAAATAATCTTTGAAGTCTCGGCTTTAAGGGAAAATATCGTAAGACTTTATGAGGAATCTTTTTACCCTTTCCCTTTTCAATTTTCCACCTTGAAGTACCACATTGTGGACATTCTTGTCTATCTTTAAATTCACCCCAATAAAGCACACAATCATATTTACAAGCATGAATCGAAATGTATCCTAATCCCAAACCTTGTAGCATGTTTTTAGCATCATAATGCGACTTAGGAAGTGTCTCGCCATTAGGCAATGCATCTCGTAGCAACTCTAACAACATATTAAATGACTTGTTGCTCCACTGATTGTACACTTTCAAGTGGAGCAATTTCACAACAAATGAAAGCTTCGAGAATTTTTTGCATCCCGGGTACAATTCACATTCAACTTCTTTCAACAATTTCTCAAACTTCTTTGCTTCGCTCTCGCTCAAATTATCACATCCATTGTTATTGGATGTTGTCTCCTGATTGGCTTGTGATTTTCCACCGATTTCTTCTAACATGTCATGTATTTCATTATGGCTGACATTTTCTTCATTTATCCATTCCTCATTTTCATCTTCATTGTCAATTGCTTCATCATTATCTCTCATTTGTGATTGTTCTCCATGGTATATCCATTGCACGTAATCTTTCATAATTCCTTTCAACAACAAGTCATCATATACTACATCTTGTGTTTGAAAATTTATATTTAAACAATCTTGGCAGGGGCATCGAATTTTAGTATTTCGATCAAAGCGAGTTCGGATAAGTTTCATAAAAGATTGGACACCCTCTACATATCTTTTAGAGAACTTTGGTTCATGCATCCATCCCTTATCCATGATAAACTGCACAAACATATAACCAAATAATAATTAAATACTATAAAAAAACTGACTTCACAAGGTAAAATTAATTTTAAGCTCTTCGCAGGTCTTCCGAAAACACAATAGATGCCACAACAATCAAACTGTTGTTAAGCTTAGCAACTGCTGATGCTTGAGCTATATGACCAAGTAGTATAAAACCTACTTGACTACCTAAAACTCACTCCCAATCAACTCCTAATATCACTCGGTAAATCAGACTTCACTAGTGAACAAAATCGTCTCTCAGACAATCTGTCGAACATGTTGCAGGCATCCTAATATAAGCTTTGTTTTGGCAGCAATGAATGGGTGTTCAACCCTTCTGAATAGTTTAGAACTTTAGTTTATATTTCAGAATAACATTCACAATAATCCCTATTCATAGGGACTCATAAGTTGCGTCACTAATAAAGCACATAATTCACATAATTTTGCATAAATATGGGCTTGAAGCCTGAAGGGGATATGGGATGGTTCTGATAGCAAACAAGAGAGAGAAGAAACATAGAACCTTACCTGAATATATACTAGCGAGGTGGAGGTATGAGCAAAAAGATCGGTGACAAGTCCCACAACTACTGAATAGGAGAATCGTGAGAGCTAAACAGATGGGAAAGATGGGTATCTTTTGTTTTGGATGAGAAATAATGAGAGTAGATGTTGGGTTGTTTTGAAATCAGAGTGCAAAAAACTTATCAGCTTTAGCTCATTTATCAATAAAAAGTAATGAATCATTTATATATTTGACTCATCTAATGACTTTTCTTTTTGTTCCCCTAAATTTTACTTCTTATCAACTTTATTCACTTGATTATATATTTTATATATATAAAGAAAATTATATTTTTGCCTAATATGTTATTCTTTTTCCGTCCAAGTTGAGTTCGAGTTCAGAATCCATCGATTTAAAGATCCAACTCCTGCACCCCGTTTACTGCCGTGAAACAGATGATCTTCGTCCTTTTACGTTTATTTCTATTATTGTCTCTATGAAAGAGTTATGTCTATTGTAAGAATAAATCATGTAATTAGTGGAGTTGTAAGCATAAGTTTTCTTCCAAATATTTAGTAATTGTTGCGTAAGATTGTCAAGTGGTCGTGGTTTGATCTCATTCTTGTCATAAAAATACTTCTTTGTAGTTGAATACGAGGAATTTGAAGTTTAGCTTGTGCCAAAAATACATGTATTATGATTTAGTTAATTTTAGTTGGTTCAAAAGTCTTAATCGCTAAATGAGTATTTTGTTTGGTGCTTGCATAATGAAACCACATCCAATGATCCATTCGAGTAGAACATATGTCGACATGTAGGAGGGAAGACAAGAGAAGTAATATAAGGAAACATACCAAGTTCACTTTTTGATAGATTTAATTGAGAGTGGATTGAAGTTGACCGCAAGTCTCAAATAACAAATATAGTACTGAAAGTACATTCAATAAGTCACTCCTCGCGTGTTTCTACCACAAAAAGTTAGTGTAACACTCCAAATATTGACATTTATCTTAGGGAGTATACATATCATTGGACAAAATTCCCTTTTTCAAAACTCGACCCGACTTTAGCTATTCATGCCCAGAATGGCGCCTTGCGTCCATATCGTATGAAAATACCTCCTCTCACAAAATATATTTTTAATTGTACACCTTTTGTCTTACGTGGAACTCTCCCTGACTCCACTTAGTAGAGGCACGTGGGTGGTGATTGGAGGCCACATAGGCTAAAAAGGCGTACAAAATTACAAAATGGATTCGAGGGGGTAATAGGACCTTAGTTTAGTTAAGGTGTGTCTCTGAGATTTCGGTCATATAGTGTAGGAGGTACTTGTGCCTTATCCCACAATACTAACATCAAAGAACAAGTTTTTAGACGTGAATGATACAATACAAAAAGACAGTTTTTTTAACAGCTTGAATTGCTAATTGAAAATTCCCCAAACCAAACATTATGAAATTATAGTACCGAAAAAGAATAGAGGAACATTGTACCATACCATTTTAATTTGGTATGATATTGATATAGGATTTTAATTTGGATCAATGTGGCATGTAAATATTACAATATGTTATTTTAAACTTCTATAAAGTAATTCTTTATAAAGAATTGTATTTATTATAATGGCAAGATAGTTAAATTTATTTTTAAAATGTTAATATTTATTTATTTTTTTTAAAAACACGTGGAATGTCAAATATCGTACTAATTGGAATATATTTTAAGATATTCCAATCACGCCAATAATGACGGGATGATCACGCACTGGAATTCCACAGATTTCAACTATAAAATTATTTTACATCTTATAGCGTACAAATTTACAACCTTGTAATTGCTTCTAAATTTATCTTTAAACATAAGTAGGTGTGAGAATTTATTTTTTTCTTTTCTTTTTTCTCCTCTTTTTATATATATATTTCAGATAAGCTTTTATGATAAATAGCTTAACTTCCTTCAGAAGAAAACACAACTTAACACTCCTACCACTTCTCAACCTTTCCACTTCCCAAGTTTTTGGGATTACCGCCCCAACTCTTAAAATTTCTTTTTTGATTCCACCAAAACAGAACCATCGATCTTTGGGATAAAAAATGCAAAAAAGAACTGCGTTTTGGCGCTTAATTTCTGAAATTTTTGGCTCCAAAATTGATTTTAGAAGAATGTATATATATACATATGTGACAAATGAAAAGCGAACTCCTGACTGAAGTTAGATTTCCGAGCTTGAAGAAACGTACCAGGTATGAATGATTCCTCTGAAAAAACAGAGAACAAGAAGACTGAAAATTCGTTCTTCCCTTTGATTTTTCAGCACTATATTTCTTTGTAACGATTTAAGGTCAATGAAATCAGTTGATGTGCTGTAAGATTTTGTATTTTGTTATGTCAATTAGTTGTTAAA